TGGCTTCTCAAAGACCCTTTTCACACCTGAGTGTTTTGTAGCTCAAAGTTTGAAGCTTGACATTTATTTATTTATTTATTATCAAGAGTTTATATAGCGCCAAAGGGTTTGCTCAGCGCTGTACAATAGAGGGGGGGACAATACATGAAACAGAACAGTAACATCAAACAGTACACAAGGGGTAAGAGGGCCCTACTCTTTCGAGCTTACAATCTAGGAGGGAGGGGGTAGAGGCACAGGACGAAACGGCTGTGGGGGATGGAGTGGTAGGAGGAGGGAAGGGCAGCGGCTGTTAGGTGAGGGTGGGGTAGGCTTCCCTGAAGAGGTGGGTTTTCAGGGAGCGCCTGAAGGTGAGGAGGGAAGGTGACAGTCTGATGGATTGGGGTAGTGAGTTCCAGAGGATGGGGGAGGACCTGGAGAAGTCTTGCAGTCGTGCGTGGGAGGAGGAGACCAGGGAGCAAGATAGAAGGAGGTACTGTGAAAGAGCGAAGGGTACGGGTAGGGTGGTACCTGGGAATCAGGTCGGTGAGGTAGTTAGGGGCAGTGTTGTGAATGGCCTTATAGGTCAGAGTGAGCAATTTGAATTTAATGCGTTGGGCAATGGGGAGCCAGTGGAGGGAGAGGCAGAGGGGGACATCAAAGATCTAATGGTTTTAGTTGTGCCTGTTCACCCCTGGGGGGAGTTTCACTTGAAGCTTGAAAAAAGTACACAAGCTTCTTTTGCGTTGTCAGCTACAAGTGTTTTTGGCCCCCAATAGACTTGGAACCTCGAAAAAACAATGCAAAGTACGTATTCTTTCCCCTATTACCTAGGGTTCCATTGGGTAAAAATAATTTAAATGCTAACAAACACCTGCACATAGACCAAAAAAAAAGCCTGTAAAAAACAACCAGAGATACTCAAGTCAAGCATGAATACCATCTAAATAGGTACCAATGGATCTCAAGCTATTGTGCAAGCTATAAATATTATCAAACCATGCCAGAAATAGTGTAAAAGGACACATTGCAGTTCTACAACAGTTGGAGATCATAGGTTACCTATTACCTGACTGTTGTGGTGTGTGTCAGATCCCTTAACAAGGACCTGTCAATATAACTATGAGATAATACGAAGCATAAGTTTATTATTGCATACATCTTCTGTATGACCGTATCTGAGAGTGACCGGCCCTGATTTACATGTCTCTGCCTCCCTGCCTACATCCTTGTGTTTGACTGGGGCCTTGTCCTATGTGACCACCAGGCTTCTGATTTTGTCACTGGCCTTATCATTCAGGAAGGCAATAAGATGAGAGATAAGATCTCTTCTAAGGTGAATGATGTAAGCCGTAGCCCCATGACACCCACGATGCAATGTGTAGACTGTTTAAAGACTACAATTTGTACATTGCTCCTCCTATCTTTGCACCTGGAGCAACTTTTTTCCCCACTTTTGGCCTCCCAGGTCAACATTTATTTGGCTACGATTAGTTTATCTTTTTCATTCTTTTTTGTTATTAATTTTATTATAGGAATATAATTTATTGTATTTTGGGTGAATGTTTTCATTATGCTTAGGCTAAGTGATCAAGTAGTTTTAAACCCAGCGCTTTCACTTTAAAACTTTCAAGTCTTCTGGCTCCTGCTCTCTGGACTTCTGGTCTTCACAGGAAAGAATTAACCATGGACAGTGCAGTCTCAAACTAGACTGTTAGCATGAAAGGGGGGAGAAGGGGATTGCCTTGATATCCTAGGTTGTGTGTTTCTATTGATGCACACAGATAGGGAGAGACAACTTTAGTTCCTGAATGCAAGGGTGGCTTAATAGGACGCTGCAAAAAAAAGGAAGCACCCTGAAACTCAGGCAGTGGCCACTACACCAGCCTAAACTGGAACATAGGCAAAGAATAAAAGCTAAAGAAGTTGCATACTCAGTATGTGATTAAATCAGCTGTTGAGAGAACTTAAAACATATCTATGGTCAAAATGTAAAATAGTATATGTGTTTCTACATTCTATTTAAAGCCTAAATGTACCTAAAGTAAAAAACAGAAAAATCAACACAAGGGACATAACTTAAAGTCAAAAGGATTTGTATCTTGTGCTGATACCTCTTCTTTTAGCCGAAATCCTCCTCTGTCCTGCCCTCCCCACCCCTGCTGCCATAATTTTCCAGTGCAGCAGGGGTTAATACAACTAATGGGCTATCACAGACTCTCATCAAGAGAGCAAGACTAGATCCAATCATTATCCCCCTGATGAAGTCACGTGACCCTGTGACGCAACGCGTAGGGGAGGGGCTCTGACGTCACGACGTTGCAGCGGAGAGGCTCGGCGATTCCAACGCAGACAGAGGCAGGCAGGGAGGGAGAGCAGAGGTAGAGGATTGCTTCACCCACAATTGACTGTGATATTTATGCCGCCCTGGACTACCAAGGAACTGTATATCGCTGTGTATTATCGCTACAGGCAGAAATAAATTTCCACTATTTAAAAGGATAAGGCACCATGGTTTGTGTTTCTTTTCTCTACATCTGACCCTAATATTCCACATGGGTGAGAGGAGGAAATGAGAAGGAGATGACCCCTGGAGGGGAATAAGGAGATAGAACTGGTCTGAATATCGGTGTATGAGCAGTTGCAAAAGGAGAAAGAGGAAAGTACAGGAGTACCTACATCCATACCCTGGTACATCTTAAAACAGAGTATTAATCCACCGATCCTGGAAGGATCAAAAAGTCTATTTGCCTGAATTTTACTCAGGCAAATATAAAGGTGAGCGCATAGGGAGACCATAAGGCACCTGGCGAGAGGGAATAAGGAATCACCTGCACTTTGACACTTGTTTATAAAGACTTTATTTATTCATTTTTATGTATTACACTAATGCACGTGCACATTGGAATATATTCTTGCACAAATATTGCTGGAGTGATCACATATAATTAGAGTGGCACTAATTATATATATATTTGTATTTATTATTTATCATTCACATTATATCAAGGTCCTATATTGATTATTATTTATCACATGAATTTAGGTTTTTTATGTGTGTATTGGCAATATATTGATAATTACTTAATCATATTAGTTTATGGAATACCACTTATCATTATGATTCACATTTGATTTATATAATTATTAATTAAGCAGAATGAGTACAGATTGGATATAGAGATATATATGTTTATAAATAGGAGCGCGGCACTATAAATACCTTACATAAAGACTAGGCCCACCCCACCATTCATAGAAGCTGTACTACAGCTTTTATGAATGACACAGGCTCTCTGAATGGAGGGGGTGGACCTACCAATCATCCACCTGTCCTTCATTCTCAGATCCTGTTTCATTCATAGAAGTTGGAGTACAACATCTATGAATGGAGCTACTGAGAGCTACTATAGGAAGAGGAATCAGCACAAGGGACACGCCCTGCTGACTGTAAGTTATATCCCTCATGCTGATTTTTTCTGTGTTTTTTTATATTGTCTACACTTAGGCTTTAAATCATTTCTAGCCTACCCCTATGACTCTGAACAATCTTGATGTTTGTATACTTACTTTGTGAAGTTAGTATTTTGGCACTGACATGGGTGATGTGGACATTTCCTATAGGCTGTCCCATGGCAGGGTCCTCTCAGCATACAACATACTGTAGGAGTGTTATGATGTCAGGAAAAGGTGACTGGTCGGCATGGGTTCGAATTTCTGTGCTAAGTCTACTGGTCATCATTCACCAAAGTTAGTAGACTATGAAATAACTATTCAGCCAAGGAAGCTGCCATCTTAGCCTATGTTTGATCTGCAACTGCCATGGTGCTGCACATGTGATCAGTTAGGACACCACCCATCTGATGGTTTGGCAGTGTGTTTGAGAGCATATGCAAGCACGACAGTCAATGGGCTTAGTTCCACTTTAGGCCTCGTTCACACCATATGTGCAGAAAACCTGATGGAAACTGATGTGCAGATTTCATTGCAGAGACATCATGCGCGCTTCAATGAGTTTTATACACCTTGCAGATTTCTGCGCAGAAAAAAATCTGCATGTGATACTAGTGTTGTGGTGTGAACAGGGCACATAGAGAACAATTGATTTTCTTGTGCCCTTGCAGAATGCGTGCAGAAAAACGGACGTTTCTGCACCATGGTGTGAATGATCTCTTAAGGTATTTTTTTTTTCAACTGCTGAATATGTGATTGGGAGATGGGCTTTAGGGTAAAGGGGAGGGAAAAGTTAGGTGTTTAACTACTTCCCGCTTGGCCTATAGCAACTTGACGGCCGGGCAGGACTTTCTCTGTTCCAGGTGGACGTCATAGGACGTCCTCAGGTAATGGGCCTTGTGCATGGCCATGGGGCCGCACTGCGGGCGCAATCTGTCACCACCTGTGTCCTTCATTGGGCGCAGCCAATGACTAATCGGTATACCGGCCCGCTGTCGGTACCATGTGATCACTGTGATCAATCACAGCAGATCACATGACATTTGTAAATAATGAATTACTTTGATTCATGCCATTCATTGTTACAATTATGTTGTTAGCTGTGACTGGTCACAGAGTTCACATGGTACAGACAGGGCCAATCAAAGCCCATCTGTACCATGTGATTTTCTGTGGCCAATCACAGCTAATCACAAAAAACAATCTGAATGAATCAATTTCTTTCAGTAAAATGCTTGTTTATAGCAGTGAAATTCACTTCTGTAAGCAATCACAGTGTTTAACCACTAGCCTACAGGGCACTTATACCCCCTTCCTGCCCAGGCCAATTTCCAGCTTTCAGCGCTGTCACACTTTGAATGACAATTGCGCGGTCATACAACATTGTACCCATATGAAATTTTTTTCATTTTTGTGACAGATAGAGCTTTATTTTGGTGGTATTTAATCACCTCTGGGTTTTTTGTTTTTTCTTAAACAAACCAAAAACCACTGAAAATTTTGAAAAAAAAAAATGTTTTTTCTTAGTTTTTGTTATAAAATTTTGTAAATAAGTGATTTTTCTCCTTCACTGATGTGCGCTAATGAGGCTGCACTGATGGGCACTGATAGGCTGCACTGATGGACACTGATAGGTGGCAGTGATGGGCACTGATGAGGAGACACTGGTAGGTGGCACTGATGGGCATTGACAGGCATCACTGAGCGGCACTGAAAGGCAGCACTGATACATGGCACTGATAGGCAGCACTGATAGGCGGCACTGACTGGCACTAATAGGTGGCACTGACTGGTACTGATAGGTGGCACTGACTGGCACTGTTAGGCGGGCACTGACAGGCACTGTTAGGCAGCACTGACTGGCACTGATAGGTGGCACTGACTGGCACTGATGGGTGACACTGAAAGGCAGCTCAGATGGGCACTGATATGTGGCATTGATGTGCACTGGTAGGCATTGATATGTGGCATTGATGGGCACTGGCATGAGGCACTGATAAGCATTGACATAAGGCACTGATGAGCTCTGACACAAGGCACTGACAGGTGGCACTGCTGGGGCTACACTGATCATCAGTGCTCTGATGATCTGTGTACATGTCCCCTCCGCGGAATGCCGATTACCGGCATTTCCCTGTTTACATGTTATCAGCTGTGATTGGACACAGCTGATCACATAACCGAGCAGTAGTGATTAAATACCAACAAAATAAAACTCTATTTGTGTGAAAAAAAGGACAGGGCCATGGATAAGGCGGTACCACCAGTCCCCCTGTACGGGGCCCAGGCTAGCAGGGGGGTCTAGGTAGATGGGTGAATCAGATGTGGGCAGGGAGGGTGATTGGCACAACAAGGAGGCAGTTACTGGAACCGATCCCCTGCATGGCTCTCTCTGCAGCAGCTGAAAGCTGGCTTCTAATCCTCTCCCTCCTTCTGGCTTTCAGCTGCTGCAGAGAGAGCCATGCAGGGGATCGGTTCCAGTAATTTCAATCCCCCCCCCCCCAGCCACACTAATCTCCCTCCATGTGGACCATACATTTCCCTAATTTCCCTATGCTGCTCAGGCCCTCCTGTGTGCCCCTCACCCCCGCAGTGCTGCCGGCTTCCCTTCTCTCCTTCCCACAGGTGGCTGCAAGCACACAATAGGATCCTTCAGAATGGAGAGTGGGAGAAAGGTCCAGTAAATATGTCACATTTACCAGCACCTTCCTTTCCTGAATGAACACAATGAGTGATACCAATCATTCGTTGTGTTCATTCATAACTGAAGCATAGTAAACTTGGGGGGGCCTGTCAGGTTGGCTGTATAGAGTCCCGTGGTTTCTAACAGCAGCCCTGGGTACAGTGTTGCATGACTGCGCAATTGTCATTCAGAGTGTGACAGCGCTGAAAACTAAAAATTGGCCTGGGCAGGAAGAGAGTAAAAGTGCCTGATATTGAAGTGGTTAAGGAGGAACTGAACCCTCTTATCCTTTACAGCTGAAGATGGAGCCATTGTAGCCTGATTAAATCTGCAATTGCCATGGTGCTGTACATGTGACCAGTGAATGTTCTTTATTTATCCACTTGGTAACCACGCTATAGCTGAATGACGGCTACAGCGCGGTTACCCAGTTCTTGGAGGGCGTCATATGACGTTCTCCCAGAACGTGCCCTCCCGTGCGCCCCCAGCGGTGTGCACCCAACGATCTCTGTGATCTTTGTGTCCCACAGACACAGCTGATCATGTGATGAGGTAAAAGGCCAATCACAGCGGCCTTTTACCACGTGATCAGCTGTGTCCAATGACACAGCAGATCATGGGTAAATATAATTGCCAGTTATTGGCAGCACTTTCCTCACGCTGTCACGCTATGAAAGTACTGCCGATAACCGGAAGCTGTCACAGAGGAAATTGGCACTGATCATCAGTGCCCTGCAGTGCGGCCCAGCACTGCCACCCACCAGTGCCCAGCGGTGCCTCCCACCAGTGCCCAGCAGTGCCACCCCATCAGCGCCCAGCAGTGCCACCCATTAATGCCCCACAGCAGTTGCGATCATTAGTGCCACCCATCAGTGCCCAGCAGTGTTGACAGTCAGTGCCATCAGTCATGCTGCCAGTCAGGACTGTCAGTCAGCGCTGCCCATCAGTACCGCCTATCAGTTCAGCATCATCAATGCCCACCAGTGTTGCCTCATCAGTGCAGCCTATCATTGCCCATCAGTGCTGCCTATCTGTGCCACCTCATCAGTACCCATCAGTGCAGCCTCATCAATGAACATCAGTGAAGGAGAAAAATTACCTGTTTGCAAAATTTTATAATAGAAGCAAAGAAACTTTTTTTTTTTTAATTATTTGCTATTTTTTTGTTTATAGCACAAAAAATAAAACACCCAGTGGTGATTAAATACCACCAAAAGAAAGCTCTATCTGTATGAAAAAATGCTAAAAATTTTTTTAAATGGGTACAATGTTGCATGACTGCGCAATTGTAAATGACCAACATCTAGTATCCTCCACATTAATGCATTGCCACTAAAGCTTACCCTTATAAACAATGTTGTTAAACTTTTGTTACTTTTGTTTTGACTCTTTTAACCACAAATTACAGATTTTTCAAAACACTATTGCATGAAATGTAAATCTGGTGCAGCTGTGCATGGTAGTCATGCTTCTAAATCCGGCAATACATGAGTCCAATTTTGAAAGAATTTTCTTTCCAACATCTTTTCTAAGTATGTTGGTTCAAATTTTGCACCATTAGTGGGCCACAGCAAAGGCTGATTTTAGTGAACAAACATGTTGGAAATTTTTTGAAAAACAGGAATTTCTAATCAATGATGGGAGAATCACGTGAGAAATGTAATTGAAAAAAAAATGAGCATGAGCTGTGACCTGGAAAGAAAAGAAGATTATTGGCCACAAAAATTCTTTTCTGTAGCAAATGAGGTGGAAATAAAGGCTTGGTTGGTCGAATTTCAAAATCAATGTGGCATCATTGGACTACAAAATTTCTGATTCTCTAAAGAAAATTTGTTTAGAATTTGACCCATGTATGGCCTGCATACTTCAGCTTGTTCAGTTAAGCTTTGGCAATAAAACTCAGACGCTGATTGGTTTTCTATCCAGAGTTGCATCAGATTTTGCACTCTCCAGTTTTAGTAAATAACCCCTACTGCAGCTGTTACCAAATTCACTGTGTGAATGTATCAGCATCCGCACAGTCTTTGTGAATATAGTTACATATTTAGTCAGGTTGAAATAAAGACACACCATAATCCCTGCAATGTGTCTATATGTTTATTTTCTATGATATTCAGCTCCATCTAGTGGCCATAATGCAGTATTTTGCTGATTGAGGAATTTCAGGAAAATACTGCATTATGGCCACTAGATGGAGATGGCAATCACAGGAAATAAACATTTTAGACATATTACAGCAGTGGCAGTCAACTTTTTTTTATACAGGGGCCTCAAGTGTGACCTTCAACATCACCAAAGGGCCACACATAAAATTCAGTGTAAGAAACAGCAGACACACAACAGGATGTAGTCAGAGACTATGGGCATGATGCAAGAGATTATCAGAGACAGTGGACATAAAATACAGGATATTGTCAGACTGTGGACAAGATAAAATGAGATGGTCAGAAATTATGAACAAAATACAAGAGATGGTCAGAGACTGCAGACATGGTACAGGAGATGGTCACAAACTGTGGACATGATATAGGGGATGATCGGAGACTGAAGACATGATACAAGCGATGTTCACAGACTGTGGGCATGATACAGCAGATGGCCAGAGACGGCAGACATGATACAGGAGATGGTCAGAGACTGCAGATGTGATACAAGCGATGTTTAGAGACTGTGGACATGATACAGGAGATGGTCAGAGACTGCAGACGTGATACAGGAGATGGTCAGAGACTGCAGACATGACACAAGCGATGTTCACAAACTGTGGACATGATACAGGAGATGGTCAGAGACTGCAGACATGATACAAGTCGATGTTCGATGGAGATGGTCAGAGACTGCAGGCGTGAACAGAGGAGATGGTCAGAGACTGCACTGATGGACATGTGGACATGATACAGGAGATGGTCAGAGACTGCAGACATGACACAAGCGATATTCACAGACTGTGGACATGATACAGGAGATGGTCAGAGACTGCAGACAAGATGCAGGAGATGGTCAGAGACTGCAGACGTGATACAGGAGATGGTCAGAGACTGCAGACGTGATACAAGCGATGTTCAGAGACTGTGGACATGATACAGGAGATGGTCAGAGACTGCAGACGTGACACAAGCGATGTTCACAAACTGTGGACATGATACAGGAGATGGTCAGAGACTGCAGACGTGATACAAGCTATGTTCAGAGACTGTGGACATGATACAGGAGATGGTCAGAGACTGCAGACATGACACAAGCGATGTTCACAGACTGTGGACATGATACAGGAGATGGTCAGAGACTGCAGACGTGATGCAGGAGATGGTCAGAGACTGCAGACGTGATACAGGAGATGGTCAGAGACTGCAGACGTGATGCAGGAGATGGTCAGAGACTGCGGACATGATACAGGAGATGGTGAGAGACTGCAGACATGACACAAGCAATGTTCACAGACTGTGGACATGATACAGGAGATGGTCAGAGACTGCAGACGTGATACAGGAGATGGTCAGAGACTGCAGACATGACACAAGCGATGTTCACAAACTGTGGACATGATACAGGAGATGGTCAGAGACTGCAGACATGATACAAGCGATGTTCAGAGACTGTGGACATAATACAGGAGATGGTCAGAGACTGCAGAGGTGACACAAGCGATGTTCACAAACTGTGGACATGATACAGGAGATGGTCAGAGACTGCAGACGTGATTCAAGCTATGTTCAGAGACTGTGGACATGATACAGGAGATGGTCAGAGACTGCAGACATGACACAAGCGATATTCACAGACTGTGGACATGATACAGGAGATGGTCAGAGACTGCAGACAAGATGCAGGAGATGGTCAGAGACTGCAGACGTGATACAAGCGATGTTCAGAGACTGTGGACATGATACAGGAGATGGTCAGAGACTGCAGACGTGACACAAGCGATGTTCACAAACTGTGGACATGATACAGGAGATGGTCAGAGACTGCAGACGTGATACAAGCTATGTTCAGAGACAGTGGACATGATACAGGAGATGGTCAGAGACTGCAGACATGACACAAGCGATGTTCACAGACTGTGGACATGATACAGGAGATGGTCAGAGACTGCAGACATGATGCAGGAGATGGTCAGAGACTGCAGACGTGATACAGGAGATGGTCAGAGACTGCAGACGTGATGCAGGAGATGGTCAGAGACTGCGGACATGATACAGGAGATGGTGAGAGACTGCAGACATGACACAAGCAATGTTCACAGACTGTGGACATGATACAGGAGATGGTCAGAGACTGCAGACGTGATACAAGCGATGTTCACAGACTGTGGACATGATACAGTAAACGTTCACTTTTCCTATTTTACCTATACTTTAAAGTGAAATTCCAGATACGAATATTTTAAACATTTACATTGGGCAAGCTTGGATCAGTGTAACTACATATATAACATACCTGGCTGATGCCCCTGGAAGCTGGAAATCACTGAAGTAGACACTGTTACTCCAGTGATCTTGCTTCTGGGTCCTGTGCAGAGTGGCTGCCCTGCTTCTTTCTGAACACAGGAGGTTGGCCACTCAGCATTTTCTGAATGAATTCAAAATGTTCTCTGATTGAATTAGGTTTATCGGCAGGGAGGTGACATCACGCTCTACCATCAGTAAATACTTACCCCATTATAAGCTAGATGCAAATTATCATCCCTTTTAAATGACAGCCATTATGAGGTAAATAAAAAATGTGGCAAAGAAGTCCTTAAAGTGTTACTAAACCCACATCAGTAAAATCAGTCTGTATATGCAGTAAAGCATGCTTGTTATACTCACTGTGGAACCTAAGGGGTTAATTCTCTGCATTGTGTAAAAAGGATGTTTAATCCTGTCTTCTCTGATCCTCCCCTTCTTCTACTGTGTCCAATCCATCTGCTGATAGGACAGAGCCCTAGGAGTCACTCTGCACATGCTCAGTTTACTGTGTATGGCTAGAGAGTTTTTTTTCTTTGGAGAGTGCATGTGATCAGCACAGGGCCAGTGTTGTCCATACAGTCAGGGGTCCTGTAGTCTTATAAGGGAGAATGAAAACTCCTCCTACAAGCTTTAACTAGTGCTTTGCTGGACACTGATAGAAGTCACAAGATTGCTCTAACTGCTGATGAGAAAAGGTATTTAGCATTTACTAAAATAATTGCACTTCCGTGTTCTGTTTACTGTGGGAGACCAGATAGAGTGAGACCAGATATAGTGAATGCGGGGTTCTGGGTTTAATGACACTTTAAAGTGTTACTAGACCCCAGACCCTGCATTCACTCTATTTGGTCTCCCACAGCACACAGAACATGGAAATGCAATTATTTTAGTAAATCTAAATGCCTAAATACCTTTTCTCACCAGCAGTTAGAGCAGTCTTGTGACTTCAGCTGAGCACATGTTAAACCTTGTGGTAAGAGATTTCTTTCTGCTCTTGGAGGATGCAGAACCCTTGACCTCTGTCTGGAGAGTGCTGATTGGCCCTGTGCTGATCACATGCACTTTCCCAAGAAAAAAAAAAACCTCTCTAGCAATACACACTAAACTGAGCATGTACATCAGGGCTATGGGTTCAGTCTGTCTTGTCAGTGTGGACATTTGAACAAGATGAGATGCAGAGAAGAGGAGACCAAGCGCCCTTTCTACACAATGTAGAGGATTAACCCCTTAGGTTCCACAGTGAGTATAACAAGCATGCCTTACTGCATATACAGACTGATTTTACTGTTGTGGGTTTAGTAACACTTTCAGTGAAAATATAACACTTGGCAATTTAGTGCAGTATAGATATTGTACCTATTTAATAAAGAACTGCGTCTAATAGCCTAACTAAGCTGTCATAGGCTATATTGTTTCATATGATCTGCCTTGTTGTTTGTTTATTTATTTACTATCTGCAACATTGTTATTCATCATCCACTAGATATTTTCCTATGTATGTTTGACTTAGTATCAATGCTTCTAAAAGGCCTCTCGGCCTGATACAATGAAACCATAACAACTGTATTTTCCACTTCTGGAAAGTCAGTACCAGGTGTCTCAGAATAACAGGCTCAGTGCTCTGTTTGTCCACACGGGGCGCTGTTTCTCCTCTTTCTCACAGTACTTCGAACTCTAGCTACGGTATGGATCCCATTACCTGGCTTCACATGTACCTGTCACAGCACAGACCTGCCATCTGCCAGCTAAACCATCAGAACACGTCACAGAATTACACGTTTTTTTTTTTTTTATGTTGTGATTGTCATGAGTAGAATAAAGGAAATATAAACATTAGGCAGGAAAATGAGAATACAGGAGGGCTGTCGCTGATAAACCAGATTTCATACATGACTAACCCTAATTGGTTGCATTAGACAAAAATTCTATTTTTATACATGTATCGGATGTGTTGTGATGTATTACTATGAGAACATTAACAGGGGTACATTGTGCGCTGCATTAAGGCAGTCCATTCATTTAAAATGGCCTGTCAATGCACAGCAATGGAACAAACCTGGAACATGCAGTTTTTTTAATGCAGCGCACCAAAGCGTACAACATTGTGGGGGACTAAAGTCCAGGTCTGTTGCCATTGAATGACCACATTTATCTCAGTAGATTCCTATTTCCTCTTGCTGACCACATAATGCACACATGCAGTGGCAAGGAAGGTGGGCCTTAAAAACCACAAACTGCACATATACATCCATGGCGGCTGAGGTTTCTGCACTGTAAATGTGCTCCCAGCACAGTGACGGAGCTGGTTGTGGAGCCATCAGGATGGGCTCCTGATCAAGTGACCACCGTGATAGCCACTCACAGTGGTCACATGACTACAAAGTCTGAAACTACCTTCCCTCCCCTCTTCCCCCAGCCTTAAGACCCAGTTAAAGGGCCGTGGCAGGCTGGTGGGAAGGGGTTAAATACAGCATATGAAAACAAAATATGACCAGCATCTTCCCAACGACATGGAGCAATAAAAATAAACCCCACAACAAACGCAATCCAACTGGGTAGGTTGTGCTCCTACAAAGTTACATATATTATGATTGTACACTGCACTTATAGTGGAACTCCAGTCGGTGTAAGATAGTATTATGTACCCCCACCTTCCCCATGGGTGGCAAGGTTTCATAGTTTGGACTAGGGGTGTGTAGAGTAGAGGAATATTTACCCTGATCCTCACTCCCACGGTCAGCCTCTCCGCCACAGAACTGCTCATCTTTGTATGTCAACCAGGGGCAGGCTCTCTGACATTACCACCTATGGCACAGGAGCAGCAGTCCCACACTGTACTTGAGGTGGTTGGAGGCCCATCCACATTCCAGGAGCGTAGGAGACCAGAGAAGAGTGATGACTCCTGGGGGATCAAGGAATAAATTAAGTATTCTGCTGCTCTATATATTCCCTAGACCAAGGGTGGGCAACTGTGGCCCTCCAGCTGTTGGTGGACTACAAGTCCCATCATGCCTCTGCCTTTGGGAGTCATGCTTGTAACTGTCAGTTTTGCAATGCCGCATGGGACTTGTAGTTTTACAACAGCTAGAGGGCCACAGTTGCCCACCCCTGCCCTAGACTAAAGAAGCTACTTTTACTACTGAGTGGAGTTCAGATTTTAGCTCCTATCACATAGACAGTCCAAGCAGGTCCACCTGGCAGTCTTCACAATGATCTAATCAGAAGCTTCATGTTAAGGTGGGAATACACAATTAGAAAATCGACTGATTGGTCATCCGACAACCGAGAGGCGTTCGTTTGTTGGTCGAAATCATGGCCCACATTAACCAATCTAAAAAAATCATTTGTTGGGCAATACGTAGTGATGATGTCTTCCGTAGAAGTGGAAGTGATGCAGTGTGCGTGTGACCTTGTAGCCACGCCCTTCTGGCCAGAATGAGCGAAATACACAACAATTAACAGCAATGAGTATAATATAGTTTATTACATTACCTATATACATAAATAGTGATACATAAAATATAATCTGCAGAATTCTGGTTTCATTATCTCATTAGGCCAATCTACTTTTAACGTTTGGATTTTTCGTTCGTGTCGTCCTTGGACATAAACACTCGAGTCATCTTCTGTTCCCGCTCATGCATGATAGCACTTGATAGATTTTTTTCGTACGACTGTCATACCAACGCATAGAAGATCGGTCGTTCGTATGCGAAACGACAACATTTTTCACTGTTGTTCAACCAAATTTTTTTGTTCACAATATCATTATTGGTTAAAACATCATTCTCATCAATGAAGAGAAAATTGTTCAATCAGTGGTTCCATGAAATTTTTCCTACGATTTTCTTATCGTGTGTACGGGGCAATAGTCTACAGGAGGCCATACGATTACCTCCAAGTCTGTCCATGTCTTAAACCAAATGGAAAAGGTCTAGGTCCTTTTCCATTTTATGGACCCAAATGTGATGACTCTGAGCTAGTCTGATGTAAATGGATGCAGTCCATAGAAGTCTATCTACATCCGGCCTTCCATAGATCTAATATGGCTATGCAAAGCTCAGTTTTAAAAAGCAGCAAAGAACTGAAATACCGATGTCACAAAAGAGACAATTGTTCCGTCTTTCTCCAATTTAACAGAGGATATGTAGTGGATTCTCTTCTGATCAGACTGGACACAACCATTGTGAAAGGTTCCTTGAGATATAACTAAACCCAAACATAAATTGTCCCTATTGAAGTCAACTGGCCTTGGCCGGTATGTGGAGTAAATATACATATATTTAAAATTCCTGAGTGCTTACTTGTATGATTATCCATACTCTATGCCTGACTTTTCTTAAAATAGTACCCGGTGATCCTACCATAAAGGCCCTTGTTCAGAAACTTTCTGAGTTTATGAGACATAGACAGAACGTTGTCACCATACTGTGCACCTGTATTGTCACCCTGCAACATGTGCTTCCAGTGGAGATCACAAGTGACCTTGTTGACACATATTGAACAGGAATGGTTTGCAGTTGTCAGCATTCATGTCCATATTTGATCAATGGAAGACTTTGGAGGAAATGGAGATCCCACCCCTTTGTTTACTTTAGCAGCGGGGACCAGGAGATGTCATTCAAGTGCAAGTGAAGTAACAGGATTGGACTGGAAGAGCAATGGAGACAACCTTGGCGGCAGCATTGTCAGTCTGGGGAGAGGGTAGTGTCAGACTTGCACATTTAGGCCTCCTGCACACAGGTCACAGGACATTTTTTTCCACTTCTGGATGACTTTTATCCAGGGTAGGAAAATGCCACTAAAAAAAAAGCAGCGTTTTGCATGCACGTTCATGCATTTGGCATTAATGCATTCTATTAGCCAGAATATGAATGTATTCTGCCCATTCAAATGCATTACCGTGCAGACCTATAAACGCACCTAATGTATTTTTTTCCACTCAAATGCTCCCTTCCTGAATGCATTGATGGTGTGTTTCTTTTTCTGCCTCTAAAAGTTCCTGCCTGTAAATGTGTACATGAACATACAGACTAACATAGAGGGGTGTACAGAGGCAGAAAAAATGAGAAATGCCTGTAAAAGTTGTGTTTTTGATGTACTGTGTGCAATAGGCTTTAGAAGAACTAACACATTGAAGCCAAACTCCAGCTAACACTTTATAAGCAGTTACAGCAAATGCTTTTTTTTTTTCATTTGGGATAAAGATTTGACATACATGATTAAAAGCTGACCTTTGTAAGCCCCCGTTAGTGATAAATGGTTTGTCTCATCCTGCAAACAGCTACTTTGTCTAGACAGCTTAGTCTGTTAAAGTAAGTTGAAAAATATCAGACTTTCTGGCCAGATCACCAGGAGAAAATAAATGCAAAAAAGCATATAAAAAGAAATTGAATGCAATCACCACATCTAAGAACTGGCATTTTTTTCTGCCTCTAAATGCCCCTGCAGGTTAGACTATGTGTCCATGCACACGCAGGCAGGGGCGGACTGACCATTCGAGCACTAGGGCACTGCCTGAGGGCCCGGGGTCAGTAGGGGCCCCATGAAATGCCCCTGGTACCTTTTTCTAGGCTTTTTGGTTATGCTTTGAGTGTG